ATATATACATCCAATCAAGCTATGAAAGTGCCCGACCTTTTTTTCTTTTTTAATTAAATCTCTGTCGTTTCAGATTGATAACAATTTAGTTCATAAATTTTAATATCTAATAACTTATTCTCTACCATAAAAAATCTCATCAAAATTAAGTATCGGTATTTATTATGTAATGATTTAAGCTTTATAGTTTATAAACACATTTAGTCCCTTATCATTTTATCAATTTACATGTATAAAAAACCTCGTTAAATCTTGACAACATTTTTTCCATAAAGACTAAATTGTGACATTGAAACTCAAGGCCTAAATTATAATAAATTTAAGAGTAAAAGAACTAAATCATTATAAATTAAAGTTCAAAAACTAAATCATTGCTTCAATAAAAGTAAAAAAAAGATGGAAAGTAAATTTTAACCTAAACAAAAACATCAATAACTAAACTTTTGGATCAATTTAGTGGTGAAATAAACACACCATGAGTTCTATTTCTAAATATGAACATCCTTCAAGTTCTATGAAGCTATTTAAGGAATAGAAAATACGTAATAGAAGTAGCCTATACCAAATTCCTCAATCAATGAGATAAATTTGATGTCTACATCTTCATGTCATATTATTGTTCTCATCAATAATATAAACCTGAAATGATCATTCAAAACTTTACAACAAACAGTAAATCCCACTTGAAAAGCTCTTCTACTAAGGTCATGTTTGAAAGCAAGAGAACAAAATGAACAGGAAGAAAAAAAAAACGACAAAGGAGAAACGACTTGTCGTTTGCAATAGATCTTCTTCAAAAGCCTGCTCCTTAGTCCTTAGATGCTATATCTTCATAGCTCAAAAAGGTTAGAGAGAGAGAGAGAGAGAGAGAGAGATAATGCTAATGTGGGGAATCAGAGGCCTACTTTGAAAACAAAGAAAAGACATCAAAGATTCAACAATGAAGCATTCAACCCCACCAACCCAAAAAGTGTGCAAAAGTGCTTTGTCCTTCTCCCTTTCTCTCCCATTATTATATACCTGCATCGAGCGATGTTTTTATTAATCAAAGGATTAAATAAGGATCGATCAACATTTAAGCAAAACCACGAAAAATTCAACGAGCATTAAAAATATTGAGGCATATTATAAATTTCTACAAAAGAAAATATCATAAATATAAATAACTACCGTGAGCTGGTCTAGTGATCATTGAAATTAGAGGAAAAGCACCGTGGTGGCCACCTACCGGAATTTAAAATCTTATGAATTTTTTTACACCTGTGAGATTAATTAAAATAGGTATAAAGTGGCTTGAACACTCATAAAAATTTATCACAAATAAAAAACTTCCACCTATTTAAGAAGCATAAATTCTTGGTTGATTCATTCAATTAAAGTTTATAATATATGGGTCTTTCTATAAGATTGATGCCTCRGTATTTCAATCAACATCAATAATTTAATTCTGTTTTATAACTAGTGAAGAGAATACTCAGTGATGTGGCCATATATTAGTGATAGTAGTAATATAAAAGAGATTCTATGATATTATATGCATGAATGTTTTTTTCATCATATCTACCAATTGAATGAGATTTTCACTGTTCAATAGTCTTCCGTTAATTTCAGTTTGTTATGCTTATGAATTTAATCCATCTAATTGACGTACAATAAACTATTCATGTCATCATCYATTGAATTTTTTTGCAGATTAAAACCTACTTGTCTTAGTTATAATACTATTGGAGGCTCTAAACAATTTGATATAACAGAACATCTACATCYAGAAATTGTCCCTTTCAATCTGAAAGTCTCGGTCTAAAGAGTCTAAGATTTTTGTTCACAAGAAAAACGTTGGCCATGACATACCCATTTCCCATGAAAACTTGCCTTAGGAATTTGAATATCACAAGAAATCTCTTCCTCATCTTAAGCCTAAACTGACTTGACCGGTCTTTTTTTTTTTAGAACTGGAAGTCAGAACTTTGCTCTCCTGTACCCAAGAGCAGTCGCGCCCACCCCAAGACTCAGATCCAAAAGACATCAAGGGTCTTTTTGTATTAAACTCACCAGATGGTTCAAACTTGAGACCTCTAAACCAGTGAGACCAAGAGAYCCCAAGCCCTTGCCAATTGGACTACCCTTTGACGGCCGACTAGTAAAAAAAAATGCTTTTAAAAAAATAAAGGTGCAAGCAATGACAATAAATTTCAACCCAATTAAAGCATTAAATTAATTGCTTAAGTTTTTTAAATTTTGGAAATTTTATTAGCAATTTAATCTAAAAAACAACTTATAAATGAAATATAGACAAATATAGACAAATAAATGAAGCTCACAAACTTCCTCATTCAAAATTAAAATGGTTCAACTATCTACCTATTCCTATTAATTGGAACAAATTTTTTAACGTTAAAGACCCAATTATTACACTTGTAAAAATAGAGGGACTAAATTGTTAATAGGTATATATAAAAGGAACATGTTACAATAGCCAAAGTATAGTAACCAAGTACAATATTGTATAATTACATAATAAAATGTAAATATAAATATAAATATATATATATATGTTTAATTTTCTTTAAAATTTCACCTAATAAGTTTCAAAAGACACAATCCAATCCAACACATGAGATCACCTACACACCAGTCCAGCCTCTTCTCCATCTTCCCTCCCAATAATTATCACTTGCACCCCCATAATGCCACGTGATATTACAACACACTAGACCACTCCTTGCTGGCCTTATTTAATTCATGGCATGAGAAAAACTATAATATTAAAAGAAAGATGCTGATCCAAGCAGATCCTATAATGTTTTAACAACTTTATTGTTTATCAGATCCAAGCAGAACCTACAATGTTTTAACAACTTTATGTTTATGTAATAACGTCAAATTTTGACCTCAAGTAACAGGGTACGGTGGTTTGGCAAGAAAATAAAAAGCCATATCCAACTTGATATTTTTTAATATTATAATTAGATAAATAATACTTTTAGGTGGTTGTGCTTGCTAAAATCCAAAGGATATAAAGAAATTGAGCAATAAGATCCTAGGATTTTGACTCATTTGCTAAACTCCATAATTGACCTAACAGGCTAACTATTCTATCTTTACWTTACATTTTAATATAGTAGTCTTTGAGATAGTACCTAATTTTGAATGATCATGCGTGATGAAGCCCATGCACTTGTAGCTTTAACCTTGTGGTGTTGCTCCAACCTGATCCTCCTGCAATTTCAGTATTCCAACATCCATAGGTGGCAATCAAACTTTTAGATGAGATACTCTTAACAGAAACTAGAGAGATCAAGTCATGAAACTAAGACTGATTATCTCAGTCTTTATCATCATTGATCTTGCTCAAGTTTAGATGTATTTGTTCAAATAGCAAGCTTCAGCTACATACAGATCATGAGGAAACTCATCCAACGTGTTAGTCAAAAGTACAATTCCTCTGTGTATTTTCGAGGGAACAATACCTGACGAGATTAAATTGTACAATCATGTTGCAACTACAAGTAGCTTTCAAAACTACCGAGAAACCATTATTATTGGCTTGATGAACTTTGCACAACCTCTGAAACACATCTACAAATTCTTAAAATCCTTGAATATCCAGCATCTAAATTTCCAACTGCAGTTCTAATGTCATTTAACAGTGACTCTGAGAGTGTGTACTGAGTAGAAGCAGGAGACTCAATCTTATGCGGAAGAACTTCTGAAGGATAAATTCCTCTGCCAAGAGATCATGAAATTAATCAATGCGATAATTTCAACATTGCTATAGTAATATAAATGACATTCATGCTCCATCCAAAGATGAAATTTATATGTTGCATGGACATCATAAGCTCGGGGTTACATACAATATTGCCCTGGAGAATTACTATTAGCAACTAGTACGTATAAATATTAGTCCAATGTCCATCAATAATACAAGTTCTATAAAAATAATCGGTTAACAGAATTCATGGGTTAAATATTAGGCCAAATAATAAGGCAATTCAGACAAGCAAGACGTATAGAACATAGAAAGAAAAAATTGTAGCTTACCGATTCAAATCTGATACATTCAGAATCAGGTTTACCGTCCGGCCACTTGGGAAGTCAATAAAACTAAGTTTCAGATCAAGATGCTCGTCTGCAAATATTGAAATCACCAAACAGAAGTTTAATTTTCAACTTCTCGTAGGGGCAACCAATTGCAAACAATTTTTAAAAATTTTGGTCATGAAACTACCTATTTTTGGAAAAGTTTCTTAGAGTAGTGGTTTAAGATGAATTACATTTGAGAAAAAAAAACTAATTAGTGAAAGATCGTCCATGTGGGTTGAAACAAACGAGCAACCCAAGATTATACATGTAAATCGTAGTGAAGATATTTGTGACCTGATAGAGAGTGAAATCTTGTTAGAGTTAGACTTGAAATCTCTATCTGGGCCATCTGCATTTCCTCAATCACATCCAGCAGGTTGTGGAGAAAAGAACTCGTGGTCTGACAAAGAATTAAAAATAATTAAAAAAAATAGCGTTTATGTACTCCAGATAGATACTACAAAAGAAGCTGCGTTATTTAAGTGAAATTGGTATAGAAACACTGGAAGTAAAAACAATAGCCACGGAGAATCAAAAGAAAAGGCAAGTGAAAATGGTTGGACTTTGGAGTTCGTCATGAAGCGATGGGTAAGCCAAGCAAGATAAATTAACTCACTTGAGTTTCCTCGGACAAATGCCTGGAGGCAATACACTTCCTTGTCCTCTTAACATTTAACACGAAAGCAAATGCACTGCAAGCATTCATTTCTGGAAAGTTCTGGTAGAAAGAAATAAAGTAAAACAGAATTGAAGAGAATGGGTAGAAAGCTGTTGAGAAAATAAATAATTTCATTATGTACCTTCTCTATGTGAGTATCATTAATTGTATTTACGATGGTTACACTCGTCAATGGATTGGCTTTAACTGTAATCCTGTAAGTTAAAAAACTTAGCGAACAATGCAGCGCTAAACTGAGATTATAAAACATAACCAACCTTTGGCAGGCGTAACTAAGGTAGTTGAGAAGAACGGTGTAATGATCATTCTTTTTCTCAAAATCATCTACTCTCCACATCTGAAAAAATATTTTTAAAAAAACAGTGTTACATAAATTTAATAAATTATGTCTTTGAATCAAAAAGAATCTTGGTAAATGTGGCAAACCTGCAAATCCTGGTAAATAGACCTGCAGAGCCTCCTATTCCCGAGATGATCAATAACTGAGGCAAGGATGTTGGTCGAACTTGTTTCTCCCTTCAACTTACAGTATGTTGAAAAATATCTGCTTAATACCTTTATTTTCCCATCCAAGGATTCAAATGCTTGCTTCATCATGCTGACTCTATCACAGGACGCCTGCACCAAACAAATTGACTTGTATCATTCACCAAGAAATTAATTTGGCATACCAATTTACTGAACAGATATTAATGTCAATCTATACACATGCATACATACACAAGCATGTACACACACAAAAACAAATATCTAGTGACGATCATTTAGAACATAATTCTAATATAATTACATAATTAGCTTTTTTTCAATAATCAATTAGAAGAAGAATAGATAAAATTACTGAACATAGAAAACTAATGTATGCTCTAGTATAAGTTGTCAATAATATGCTCCCATATTTTGCAGAAAAGTAAGCAGGATGGTTGACCATTTCTTATTCAAAAGTCAAGTTATACAAATGCTCTTGACTGGAATATTGCAATATTATGAAGTCAAGGTCACTGAGAACCCAGTGAAAATCAACCAGCATCCTTGAAAATTTCACACATATACCATAACCTCGGACACCAGTTCAGAACTAGTGTATCCACAATGTAACATAAATTTGACACGTCTGCATAATGTCTTTTCGCAGTGATTCCATTAATAGGATATTCAGCCATATAGAAGGAATTATGATTCACAAATCTCATGTCTAACCTCAGAATCATTTGGGCATGAAAGGCCATTTCTGTCATCAACTTGACTGCTCTTTGAACCACGTTCTGTGATTTTTTCATAKTTCAATTTCAACGTTTTAAAATCCTCAACATGAAAGCTCAATGACTGTGCTCTATTCTGCATGAAAGTGTGCACGGAGGTTTAAAATTATTCATAATCTGGATATTTAAATTACCAGAAAATACAATACCTGATATCCATCACGCTTTGCACACACCAACTGAAGCTTTGCCTTATTATATGCTACTTTATACATCATCGATCTAGCTTCCACTACCCTGTGATAGCATCAGCGTATGAGTGTCAAAAACAGTTATTTGACCAATTCTTGAGAATATAAAGAATCCACATAAAAACTTGTTTATACAAGCAGATGCTTTCTCAAATCACCTTTTACGCATTGCTCCGAGATTCTCAGTTACTTTCTGCAGGTGAAACAAAACTAACATTAATATGTCAAAGCTTCTAACATTAATAAACCTAACACGACAATTAGTTATATAATAGCATATCGAAATATGAGCTCATTCAATATTCACGACCTGAGACTGGATTTCAGAACAAAGAAGTTCATATTCTTTAATCTTCAAAAGGTGAACCAAAGTATCTTCAAGCTTCTCAAGCTGCATAATAAAGTAAAAAAATAACAGTAGAAGTGGGGGTAATGAAAAACACATTATTATTTAATATAATTTAAAAAATAAATGAAGAGAAAAAAACATAAAGAAGATGATGGGAAGAAATCAGAGAAAATATACCGTTTTTGAGTTCAAACCATTGATCAATGGGGGTAGCAAATCTTTTATATCTGCTGAAAATTTTCTTGACATCTGCAAGATGATACAAGTAAACAATTCATGAACCCAACACGAGAACAAAGAAGTCTCTATGACTCTACCACCAAATGTGGTTAGCAGACAAGTGTCCTTATCAACCAAAAAGGCAGTCAACTTACATCTGTCCAATCCGTAAATGCTCTATTTCTACTACCCTCTATCTTTTTGCTTCCGTTGCTCATTTCGTTGAACCCTTCCACTGGAGAGTCCACATCACAACTTCCACCACGCTTAACTTTTGGGCTCTCCTGATTCCTTAGTATTATGTCATCATGATCTCCTTCAAGAGGAATCATGTCAATGTTTCTTCTCTTGCTCCCAGAAAGGCTGTGATTCCTTGAAGAACTCTCCGATATGTGGCTTGCTTGATCAAAATCATAAGTAACATGTCCACTAAAACTGGATGTTGGAGAACCCATTMCTTCCCTCATAGAGGTCACATCATCTTTCGTTTCACTAAAATTCTCATTTCTCAAGGGACTTTGAAATGGCTTTTTCCTTGCAGAACTCTGAGATTGTTCGTTCTTCAAGGGACTCAGAATTGACTTACCAGAGATGGGATTCTCAGTCTTTTTCTTGCCAGACGAGGTCTGAAATGAAATTAACCTTCTGGGACTGTAGTTTGGCATTCCACTGAAAGGACTCTAAGATAAAAATTCCACCAAAGTCAATATAAAATTTGGAAACCTTGAGAAAACAGCCAATAATATCATAAAATACGGCAGTAAATTATTTGCATCTATTAAAAAAATGGTTAGGAAAGACTACTATTGAGAAGATTTTAACCATAGGGTTGAAACTTGAAAGTTTACAGCTGATACGATAACTTTCAAAAGAGAGCCTCACTCAACCTTGGGGCCAAAGCAGTCACTATTGACATAATTTATATCTTATATTAGCTATTGCTAAGGAAAAGCAAATAGAATACAACCTGCAGAATGGATGGTCCACCTGTCTGAGCCTTCTGAAACTGCAGTGGAAAAGCATTAACCATGGAGTTCTTAGCATCACTTGCCAATCGAGACTTCAGGATGCTCCCATCCCTTGAAGATAGTAGCAAATTGCTAAAGGCTTCAGAACTATGCTGCAAATTTGAAAGGTGTCCTCCATTATCAGCCCCATCAACCAAAGATGGAGCTTTAAGTAACGGTGAAGTTGACACAGGTTCACTTTTGGGTTGCAGTGAACTTGATTTGTCAACTTCGAAAATCAGAGGACTGGTATTGCTAGTATGTGCAGCTGCATCTCCTCCTTGCATTAGACAGGCACTGACATGCTTCACTTGTTGGTCACCCTGCTTCAGTTCACCAAAGCAACTAGTCGAACATTCAGTGGCTCCTAAAAACCTCACGTCTAAACCATCCAAAGGAGATGAAACAAGCGTATCATGTATACTAGTAGAGTTATTCTGTTCTCTGTCATCAGGTATAATGTCCAATGACAAGGCATCAATTTCAATACTAGTACAAGACCCCAACAAACGATTTTCTGGCATCAAGATATGCGGCATAACATCTTTTTTCTCAGACCAAGTAACTTGAGCGGGTGACTTTGCTTCTATAGCTAGCTTACTAGGTTGCACATTGGAAAGATTTGCCATAGTCATATAGCCTGGAGTTTCTCCAGCCTCAGTAGAACCTTTTGGCTCTTCACTTTGGCTCAACCTAGGCAAGTCTTTTGAAGTCTTGACTCGGCTACCATCAATGCTAAATGAACTTTCAAATTCACCATTGTTCCCATTGGAACTGAAAAGTTGTTCTTCCAAACGCACAACAGGAATATCTGTGTATTTGCATTCGAGATCCTTGCAACGATCAGGTTGACCACTCAAGTTAGCCATAGAAGAGTAACTTGATAGTCTGGATTTCAATCTGTCAATCCCTTCTTTAATACTCGAAATACATGGAGACGGTTCAGGAAGTCTGAACTTGGAAATACTTTTCTGCTTGGACGACAGTTCCTTGCCAAACTTCATGCTTCCTGTGCTCATTCTATAATCTGGCAGCTTTGAGTTAGGAGTCACAAGAGCAGCAAGGGCAGGTGAACTAAAAGTAGCAAAAGATGTTTTGCGTTCAGCAGATAAAGATCTATTATTTAGTGGAGATATATCTTTGAGYTTATAGTCAATGCCTTTCATTGTTTCATGCCTTCTATCCATCAGAAAGTCCTCCTTAGCCCACCCATCTGACAAATTTCCTTCTAACAAACCATTGGATTGAAAAACTTTATGGGGTGTGCCATTATTGAGTATACTTTTCTCAACTGCATGTTTAGCGTATTCTTTGATTCCCTGAGAAAAGTAAAACAAATCGACAAATATATTCATCCGTACTTGTGCATCACCAGCAAAACACTTGGAAAATTTTCAACCACAGTAAGAAATTTAAATGTTTGAGTCTTGTGATAGATGCAGAAAATTGCATCACCAACAAAATGTCACACAAGAGGCAGCTATGAATCATGTGCAACCACATAAGCTCTGATAATAATGGCACTAGAGAAGTCTCTTCACTGTAACAACTAACAAGATAACATATTCAAGTAAAATTGAGATAAAATATATATATTTTTCAACTGCGTAAGTTAAAACTGCCCCATCATTTGGACAATTTGGAAAAGCTTTACTAGAAATTAGGATCATGCAGACTAGACCCAACAAAAACTAAAGTAAAAATATTGAAACCCATCCTCGGATAATACTAAGGTAAGTCTGCAGAGTAGTCTGCAGAGCAAAAACATCAAAGAAAAACAAAATTTTGTACTAACATTTTCCATTTCAGTTCTCCCAGAGATTTCCTCATCATAGTTGTGATGTACAATATGATCAACTTCGCGAGTCTCATTGTGTTTGGGCAGTCTTTCATCAACCGAAATAGCATAGAGATCCCTGCTTCCTTCAGTCAAAAGTGCATCTAACGCGGGAGATAATCTCCCATAATCAAATTTATGAGAGWTCTCTCCCACGATACTCATTGCATTAGAATCTTTACTTCTCACCACGTCACCAGATTGCAAAGATGGAGAAATCAGCTTTTTAGCTTTCGTCAGTGCCATAAAACTGTCAGTGTTAGATGGGGTGGTATTCTGGGTCGGTGTTCTCTCTCCAAAGTTAAGCCGAGTGGCCGTAGGAGTCTTAAGATCTCTCCCAGAATCTGACCCGGCAAGGCTACGAAAATGCATCGAAAATGCTGTTGAATCCATTGTAACATCATGGTTCTCATCAGAGGCAGCAGAATCAGACAACCGCCCGGGTCGAATGAAATTCGCTGATACAGGTCCGAAAAAATTGTCCTCTGCAATAATGAATTGAAAAAAAAACATCTTCAAAACTACTTCTCCAAAAATTCGCAAAATATAGTGAAAACGAAGAGGGAAAGAAACAGAAAACGTGCCATCGTTGGAGGCTGCGGAGCCAACAGTACTACTCCCCGGCGACGGCGACCCAAGCGGCCTCAGAAACGATTTCCTCTGCCCAATAACGTCATCATCCACATTAGGCGAAGATTCACGGGAATCATCGCTATCAACCAAATCCCTGAAGAACCCTAGAACCTCGTTGTCCGGAGGAGCAACCTCGGGAGTAGCAAGGGGCTCGGGAGGCGTCTCGTAGTCCTCGTCGCGCTTGAAGATGTGCACGGAAGTGATCTCGACGTCGGCAAAGCTCACTCGGCGAGCCCGCTTCTTGTTGAAGGCCAGGGTTTCTTCCTCAGTGGCAGTGTTGGCGGCCTCTTCAGGGTCCTTGGAAGCCATTGGAGGCAGATGAACTACAGAGCGCAGTGATTTCGAAAGGTTTCGGAGTTCAGAGATGAGACTTCATGAGATTCCGATCACCGAACGGACTCTGGTCGGAATTTTAGCCCGGCGGAGATGAGTGGAGGGAAGAGAGGGGAGGCATTGTTTGTGCGGGAAAATGCATAAATATTTCAAAATATAAAAATTCGAATAAATCGACTGTTTTGTTTTTTGCTTTTTTGTTTTTATTTTTTATTTTATTTTAGACTTTCCATTAGAATTTTAAGTTTAGACTTAATAAGGGTTTGATTTGAGTCCGACTTCGAGTATTAATTTTTTTTCCGATATTGTTTGATATGAACATAAGGCGTAAATTTATATTTCTTGCAAAATGTTAAAAAATATAAATATAAATCATAAATAAATACATAATAATAATAACTATTGAGAAATTATACTAAATATCATAAATAAAAAATATATTTATATAGACAATAATGCACTTTTTATTTATTTTTTTAAATGTCACAAAAATTATTTTTGATTAGATTGTATAAGTTGGAAATTTGTGCATTTTTTATGATTTTAAACCGCAATGTTATATATATGTACACATTAACTTTTTTATTGTTGCTATCTTTGTAATTCTCTTTAATATATTAATAACAATTATTTTAATACAATTAATAGCAATAATTTAAAAATGATAATACTCTATTAATTAAATATTTTATTTAATTTTTTTAAAATATTCATCGATATATTTTATTACAGTTGAACTTAGACCAACTCAATTAAATTGATATAGGTAAGTCAGAGTTTTAGATTATCACATTTTCTTAGACCAACGCTAAATTAACAATTGAAAATACCATAGAAAGACCTATTGTTATACCGATATATGTGTGTTGTAACTTATAAAGAAAATTGAAAATAAGCCGAACCAATCACTAGAGCTCGAAGATGGTAGACAAATACCAGTAAATTGAGTCAAACATGGCAATTTGTTTTCTTAAAATTAATAATTGACAAAAAAAAAAAGATATTTTTCCTGGAGAAACAGAAAGGTTTTGAAGTTGGTTTATAGTCTAATAATTATAATCCTAAGGTTTTCTTTTAAAAGATAATGCTAATCATAAAGTAAAATATACATATTTGTTTTTGTCAAATAAAACATATAATTGATATCTTTTTCTATAATATTTCATTTTTCAACTCATCAAATTAAATATGAATCGAGAGAACCTATTACTCTAAATTACTCGTGAATAAAATGATGATTTATTATGATGTATCATATTCATCCAAAATATTTGTAAATACCAAAACRTTCATTTAGGTCGTGTACTTTCCCTTTTATTCATTTAATCTTTATAATTTCGAAATGTCTATTTTGATTCATGTACTTTTAAAACGTGACAATTTTAATTATTATTTACAAAATTAACACAAAATTTATATATACGATGTAAACTTTTTAATATAAATTAATAGCTACATTTCAAGAAATTTAGTAGGTGAAATGTAATAATAAAATTGCAATTGAAAGAAACAAGATAAAARATGAAATTGACAGGACCAAAATGGTCACATTTTAAAAGTAAAAAGACAAAAACGAACATTTAAAGAATACAATGACTAAAACATACAAAAAAAAATTGAGAGTACGATAACTAAAATAGACGTTTTGAGAGTACATAGACTAAATTAACCAAAATAAAAATAAATATAAATAGTATTTAAACAATTAAACCGATTTTTTATAATAAAGACAAATTAAGAGGATCAATTACCTCTCTTTCTCCTTCGCTTTGTACTTGTGTTAGCCAATAAAAAGATTCTTGTAAACAAAATGAAAAGACAGAGAAAATTGTTGCTATATGAACAACAGAAAATCAAAAACAAAATTCTTGAACTGGATTTAAACATTTAAGCATTGCGACTACCCTTGTTGTTACCATATGAACCAATTGATTGATTTGAATGATCCATCATCAGCCGTATAAAGCACGCCATGGCTCCTTAACATCTTTTGATGTTTCTTTTGGATTCCACACGATTCCTTCTCTTGAAAAGCTGAGGGCCAAGCAGCTTGCAAAAAGCTCACCCATTTCATTCAGTATCTGGATAATAAACCACACAGAGAGAATCTGATAAGAAACAGAAACACATTTTATAACTACTTCTACAAGCAGCAATAATCAACTCCTGATCTAAACTCACTTTAAACGTAAGTTCAGGATGACGTTTTAGAAAGTGCAGTTAGATAATTCAAAGTGATTTTTAAAAATTCACAACAGAAGTGTTTTTAGAGGGGGCGACTAATTAGTTTTTCTTCCAAAAGTTATGGAGAAGTGTCTTTGTTTAAAAGTACGCTATTCCAAACTCACCCGAAGTACTTTCAAGTGTCAAAGATTTTCTCGAAACTACTATAGTTTTTTAAAAGCACATCTAAATATCGAATTAACTAGAAATACTTTCCCGTTTGATTCAGTTAGTTGTTTTGCATGCCCAAATTCGGATTATAACATGGCCAACTTTATGTATCAGACTTCTGGGCATGGAAATCCCAACAATATAAAATGATTGGTTGAATAAGTACCTGAATCTCTTCTCCTGCAGCTTGATTGGAAAGACTACGACCTGTTCGTCCAAAAACGAAAAAAGCAGGAATGTTTGAGACGCGAATCAAGTGTAATAAACAGGCCAACTGTTCATGATAAATCTGCGACATTGGTGGCAGTTTCTGCACTTTGGCAACCATCGTTCGTGAAATGTCCGTTTCTGGACCAATCTCGGTACCATACAGAAGAACAGTCGGATCATTTTTTGTGACAGTTTTGCTCTCCCACTTGATCTTTGAGTACGTAATAACAGATGGGACCACAAGAGTAGGCATCGAAGAAGAGGGTAAACTATCTCCTGCTATGTGTGAAAGAACTTCATTCACAGCACATGCCAACACTGGAGGTTCATAACTTTGTAAAATTAAGACTGAAACCTGAAAATTCAAGCAAAAACAATATGTGGCAAGGGTAAAAAACATCATCCACCAATTAACTTTTGTAGTTAAGTCCCCGCATTAACTCAGATCGGCTGACAGAAACAAGTAAAATGCTATCCCACGGGCAGATGCAGAAGAGCACATTCAACCTTGATATATGGAAAATGTTTGATACAGTCTTCTAAAACATGGCAGATACATGCTCAAGATAAAAGCACTAAAAATAGTGGTAGAAAACAGCAGTACCATTTTCACACATTCACAACACATCTAACATAATCGGTTGCAATATTGAATGGGATGGTTCAGTTCTATTGAATTTCCAACTGAGAATCAATCTATTAATACCTATATCAACTTCCTCACATGCTTTATTACAATCTAAATGCTACACCATGACAATGAAGTAACAAAAAGTATTTTTTATACCCTCATAGGAGAGACCTGAACTGGCCGTTATAATGTAAATCCTTTGTAAGCAGCTAAAATTTTCAGAGAGTCCACTCCAAGCTTCATGTCATTCCAGTGGGCCAAGATAAGCTAATGGCTACATCCAATCCGCAATAGATCCCAAACAGAGCTGCACTTTATCACACGTTTCCTATCCTAACCAATGATCATCTGCCTGAGCCCTAACTGGTGCGTGTAGTGTAGACAAGTAGAAGAAATGTCAACCAACTATTCCTGACCTACTGCTTCACCTGGATCTCTCTATCTCTCTCTCTTATTTTTTTTTTTTTTTGGGCTGGAATTGTAGACCAGTAAGTGCAGCCATTCCCTTGAGGATAAAGCTATGATGTTGTAATCTTGATCACCAAAATGATAAAATCCTAGTACTTCTTCTTATCAACCTTTCTGAGTACTTATATAGCCTTCATACCAGAATAGGAAAGTGCGAATTTCATCTCCAAACAAATTACTAACCAGCTATCCAAATTAACCTACTCCATATCAGTACTGCTCGGTTTTTGCGAATGGAAATACAGTAGAGAAAAGGAATATCACATGATACGTACACCAAATAATAACTACGCATTGGTGTGGTGCTCACCAAACCCTCTTTGATGCCTAAGACTCAAACCATTGTGCAGGGTGTCAAGCAGTATTGAGCAAGGGCAAGGAAAAGTACAATGTACCTCAACAATGATCTAGATCCCTCTATTTATAGAAGGGAAGTAACAATAACATTTTAGATTCGGACCCGAGGGACATCAAGAATTTTTTATATTAAGCTCATCATAATATTTGAACTTGAGACCTCTAAGCTAACATGACCAAGAGGCCCCAAGTCCTTGCCAAATGGGCTGTCCTTTGGGGCTTGTTCGTCCTACCTTCTATATGTTCATTCTATCTTTGCCCCTTCCTGAAGAGGAGCACCTATCCTTGCATTGTGGATTTTTTGATAGATGATTCCAATGGATCCACATTGCTTTGTCAAATGGCAAAAATATTCACCCAATAAAACGTTTAGCATCACAATAGTCGGGGTGACATATCCTACTTTCATTCGTATACAAACAGATCACTTTCTATTTTATTGTTTTCTTTAATAAACCTCCTAATGACATGATAAAATTTATTGGCATGTTTGTCTAATACAAGAGTTCCATACTGCACAAGTACTGGGATATTTCTAACTAGAAATATGAAGTTCCATAGCTTGTTTGCGACATGTTCAACACTGACATTCTCCAAGAAAACTTCTAACCATTTTTCAACAACTTCAGCTCCCAATTTTCCAATATAGAAACTGGAACGCAACTCATAATCGCTCCAAAAGTACCTGATAGGTTCCCTTGCCGTCGAGATAGTGAACGATGTTCCCAGAGGCTTTGTGGTCTTTGATTTCATACTGCTCCAGGGAGAACTCGAAGCATTCATCTCTGTAGCAAAATCAAACCAAAAATGATCTGTTAGTCAGCTAATTTTGAACTCGACGAAAAACAAAATAGATGGAGCTAACCGCGTGGTAACCGATATTGGAGGGTTGGGGCGGAGAGCTCCGGAAATGGCTGAGGCGAAACCCTCGGAATCTCTGATGAGGAATATTACTTTCGGAGCTAATTTCATTCTGTTCTCTCTGAGGTGCAACTCCGATAATGGTGAAACGCCGGCGGAGGAGATCGATTTCAGAGGACCTTGTGATTTGGTATACCTTCGATTGCTCTTTCTGCCATTGGAGCTTCTCTGCTTCTTGGGTTCTTTTTCTTCTTCGAGGATGATGCCGATGCAACGACGTCGTTCTACATTGCAATTGTTATCTAAAATGTTAAATTACTACTCTACCCCCCTGCCCTTTTTCCTTTTTTCTTTTTGTTTCAATTGAGCCCATTTATTCAATTTGATTTAAACCATTTAAAAATACTGTTTTTTTTTACTTCATTTAAAATACTGTTGATGTTGTTAAATGTTGTAACATGCTAATTTTTGTTAGTATAACAATATTTAACATAAATATTTCAACCTCCCATTTTTTAGTCGAAGATATATAATGAATAATATAATAATAAGGGACAATTTTTCTCTTAACTGCACACAAATATGAACAAAACATGTGCATCCAAACACTCGCTAATGATTCAAATACTGTAGTCTACTAATATGATATAATCTAACAATCTGATATGCAACATGTGGAGGTGGAGATCGAACTCACATCCTCTTGATTGGATTGAAAATATACGTCAATTACTCCTCGCTTTAGCGATGTTATATTTTTTTAAATATTTCATATATATTTTTTCTTGACATTATTTTAATAGGGACAAACTACACTTTTAATCCCTATAATTTAAGTTTGGGTTCTATGTGGTCTCTAAATTTCAATATTCGACAATTCAGACAATAAGATTTTGAAAATAGTTATAAATAGCCCCCAAAATAAAATTGTTGTTTGTCGCTTGGAAATAGAATCTTTAACTTAAATTTAAATTATATTTTACATTTTTATTTTTTTTCATTTTTTAGGTACAAACTGGGCGAGTCGAACTCACAACCTTGTGATTGGAGGTATATACCAATTACCGTGAGCATCGCTTTGGCTTACGTTTTTAGTATTTAATTACTATGCATATAATTTTTATATTTCTTTGTATTTAATATGTTATATCTTTATTTTTAATATTGCCTTTTCACATATGAAATATAATTTGTGTTATTTTTAAATGATTTGGTTGAATAATGTCCAAATTTTTTTTTTCCTTTTAGGAATATTGTTACTTTTTCATGAATGTTTTGAGTTTATTTTGTTTTATGTTTTCATATATTAGATTATTTTTTCTTTCTGGTATTGTGCTTTTTTAGTTTTCTAAGTGTATACATAAAATATAATATGTTAATTATATAAATAGAACGATTATTTCTAAATTACCTAACCTCAAATATATAATTTAATTAATGTACACGTTTAAATAGTTTAAATATCCACTTTAATTTTGAAAATTTTTATTTAGATTGTATATATTTTGTTATTACTTTGAAATCTACATTTTGTAATTGTTTTAAAAACTACATTATTCTTAAAATTACCCAAAATTTAATCATATATAATATGGCTAATTTGGGAAGTAGATATTTTTGAAAAATCTAGAACTCATGACATTTTTTTTTAGAAAATTACCAAGTCCAGTAACAAAATGATAACTCAATGCTGGATCATATCGGCCCACTTTTCTCAGCCACTTGGGCTGCGAATTGCCCACTTGGGTTCAAATGGGCCGAATTTTAGAAACATGATGGGCCATGGCTGTAAAATACCACTCTAATTTTTATTTTTTATTTTTAGCGTAAATACCACACTAATTTTATTTGAACCGTTGATTTATCTGAATTTCATATTTCTACGAACATTATTTTATTGAATCTAACTATATACAAATCATCAATATTTAGACATGGTTCAATTCTTAACCCGAACTACATATTATTATATGATTGTTTTCGAGATAATGAGAATAATTTAGAATCATTCGTTATAATGGTCACTTTTTAACACACTATCTCTCGCCACACAGCAACGAGATTCTAAATCGGTGCTAAAACTCTAAACACAAGACAAACTTTTGAATGGTGCCCTATCAATGTTGTACTATAATGCCCATGGACCACCATTGCCAAAACTTTAATTTTCTCTCCAGCAACATTATATGTGTGAGATTTTTAATAATTTCAAAAACAAACTTTCGTATACGAAAAGTTATATAGAGAAAGAAAAGGTCAATATCCACAGTTGAAAGTTAAAATTTTGCTTGATTAGGATAGACAAGAAAAATAGAAATGGGAGAAGGGTGTGGAATGATGGGATAAAAGAAGGTTTAGTTGAGAGAAGCATAAGAAATAATGTTCTACTCCACACTTTCTCCTATTAGTCAACTAACGTGACATCCCATATGGACCATTGTTAAATTATCGATTGACAGAATGCCGATATGACATTTGATTAGATAAAATTTCTCTGACATGACCTTATTTGATAGCTAGCTAAGCAGATTATAAATGAATAGTCTTATACACCCACATATTGTTTGAAATTTTTTTATAATTTCAAAAATCATATCGCCATGTTTTTCTTCTTCTAAATCAAACAAAAAATTCGGGTTACAATGAATGGTTAAAATTTTAAAGTGGGCTTAATTGGAATAGAAAGGGAAATAAAGAAAAAAGGGTGTGAGACCATTTATTCCTATAACACTTTCTTTTTTTAACTTTCGATTAATGGAATGTCAAATGACACTTCATTAGATTAAATTTCGTTGAGGTGGTAAGATCTGATAGCTAGTTAGATGGAATTAGAAATGAAAAGTCATATACAATTAGGAATAAATTAAGTTTTTCCTAATTAAGTTTGAGATGAATATGTCAGATCTAATTGTCAAATCATATAAATCAAAATTTGGATGAAAATATAACCTTTGATTTGGTGTTTCGTTAAAATTTGAGAATTTTGTCAAGGACGACAAAAAAAATAAAAATAATTCAGAGATTTGATATGAATTGACATTCCTACATCTTACATGTACTTGTTGACTCGTTTTGCTTGTCCTCTCAACCTATTAAATTTCACTCCACGTGAGAACTCTCATCAAACGAACCAATAATATTATCCAGTAATCATATTTAATTAAATTTCTTCAAAGGGTATTATCGACCATGATTAAATAGAATCTTTTTTTTTTTTAAATAAGAAATGAAGCAAGAAAGTTTCTTGGAATAGATCCCAATGAGGATAGAATGTGGGGGTGGGGAGTGGCCATCATCCTCCTCCTCCACTTGTTCTATGTATTTACTCAAAAACCCTCAACCTCTCCACACCCACCAAATTCCTTTTTTTTTAATACAAAAAAAAAATAAAATAAAATAAAAATTTTGCTTTCCTACTTATATATATATATTTTTCATTTTTTTGGTTAATTTTACTAGTTGCAAAAAAAAGATATAGTTCTTGCAATTTAGACATCATATTTCGTTACATATTAATATTCTTTACTAACTAATCTTCTATTTGTTTGTTGAGTTTCCAATTAAAAAATGATATATTTGATGCAACATTCTGTGTGAAAGGAGACGATACAGACGAACGGCGGTCATATTATAATGATTTCAAGACTATATATGTAAGCATAAAATAACATAAATTATGATGTAAATTATATTATTTTTCAGCAGTTAAGTTCTCTAAAAAGGTGTATAATCTATATTGGGTAGTTGGATTTCTTAATTTTTAATTTTTTGTTCACAATTCATCCATTTCAAACAAATGTTGTTATTAGCTAAATAGATTAACATATGGTACTAAAAAGAAGACTATATATGATGGGTCAAGTTGAAATATAAATAATTTTTTTTATTATAGAAAAGTCAATTACTCAACCCAACCATAATTTTTCCAAAATGAATGACAAATTAATTTCATTTTTCTCTCTCACACATTCAACTTTATAAACTTCAACTTGGTCATGTGCACACATTCATAAGAAAAATAATTATAGGACAAAAAAATAAAAATAATAAAAAGACAAATATTAACAACTAATTTCAAATGAAATTATGCAGTTTGATCCAATAATTAATTAATATCCACAATCATGTTGATATGTTTGCAAAATTTTCAAAAACTAAACATTATATAAGGATCAAAATAAAATAAATCAACTATGCTTTTTAGTTCTGATGCTAATCGATCATTTCTATCATTTGATAAAATATATGCTCCTAATTTACAATATTATTTTGGTCTATTAGTCCAATCGTCCACTCTCACTTTTCAACACGTACCAAAACTATACCTCTCAAATACCTTAACTTAAATTCATGTTTTTAAACTAACACGACACATGTTTGTGGGGTTAAAGTTCAAAGAAATTGAGCAAATTCTTTTGAAAATTTTCACATCCACTAATCCGTTTACTTGAAATTAGTTCACCTGACACATCTCAATTGTCACATCACCTCATAATTCCTAATTAATATTAGACCCAAAATTGACAAGATTAATAATGTAGGAAAATGAACTTATTAAACAGAGTATAAATAATTTATATATATAATCGAAACTTTTTAAATTTTAGAGACTAAGTTGACGTAACTCGTTAGATATCCAGGCTAAATTTATAATATATAACCTAGAATATATATATTTATATATATAATTGTGTGTATCTTCTGTTCCATTGGAGGAGAAAGCCAAAGAAGAGGAATGAGATCAAAGGAGGAGAGAGAGAGAGAAATTGCAGAAACCATGAAAAAAACTTATTCTTCTTCTGCCTTTCATCATCTTCTTCTTCTTCCATTATTTCTTCTCCTCTCTTCTTTACTGCTCAGTCCCACGTCCGCCATTAAAAGGGTCAGTTCTTCGTCTTCTTTTCTTTTTCTCTCATCTTCTTAGCTCCTAAACACGCTCCCTAGATTCGGGTATCTTTTCTCACTTATGCATCCACCTCCCATTTACAGTCGTATGTCGTCTACATGGGAGCTCACTCCCATGGCGGTCGAGAACCGGCCGATATCGTCGCCAATTCTCACCATGAATTCCTCCAACCATTTCTCGCAAGGTACATATCGAACTTAACCTCCATCTCCATGACGGGTTTTTTCTGTCGTTGGTGTTAAGAATATGAATGAAATAATTAGATTTATCATAACGTGTTGGGTTAGATAATAATTTCACATAGTTACGAAAGCTAGAGTTTAAATCGTAAATACAGTAACTTATCATTGTAAGCTTTTAAAATAACTAAAAATTAGTATAGTTTTAAAATAAAGATTTTTTACATTTTAATTATTCAATAATCTATCCGATTAAGCTTTTAAATTTAGTGATAGTTCAGTAATTGACTCAGTCTGTCTTGAGTAGTGATGAGTTTGTAGAAGACGTCATCCTCTACTCGTACACAAGATACATCAATGGCTTTGCGGCAATGTTGGAAGACGACGTAGCCACCAAGTTAGCTAGTAATTAATCTTTCTCTTTTCTATGTATCTTTATTCCTGAAACTTTTGAATTTAGTGGTAATTTAACGTCTCCAAATGTCAAACGAAAAAACAAGAACACCGGAGCGTGGTGTCGGTTTTTTTGAACAGAGGAAGAAAATTACACACAACAAGATCATGGGAGTTCATGGGGTTGGAGAAAAATGGTGTTATAATTTCAGAGTCAATTTGGAAGAAGGCCAGATTTGGAGAAGACACCATTATTGGAAATCTTGACACTGGTCAGTTTCTCTCTCTAACTCTAACTTTCTCTCTCTTCCTTTTTTTTTTATTTGGATAATAGTTTTGATTAAATAAAAGAAAATGAAAACTTGACTTTTTGATCTGTTTAATGATTTTTTTTTATTTTTTATTTTTTGAAAAACTAAAAGAATATTTTAATGGTTCTGTGTCGACTCTTCTACGACCACTAAACTAATAAATAATTTTTTGATTTTTCTCTTAAAGAAAGATGAAATTTTGGTTTCAGATTTGGTTTATTTCAATCCATGTATTTTTTATTTTTATTTATTTATCTACTTTTAAAATATTTTTATTTTGATATGTGTAGTTTTGAAAAATGATTATATTAGTCTCTATTTACAAAATTTTAAAAYTAATATAAAGTTGTCGTTACATTTTAAGAAATTTAATGAACATAATGTTGGGTTGAAATTGTGATAAAAAAATGAAATTATAAATAAAACTAGGGGATCAAAATGATCATTTTTTAAGAGTGTAAATCAAAATAAATATTTTAGGGGTATAATGACTAAAATTGAACCAAATTAAAATTACATCAACCAAAATATGAACATAAATACAATAATCAAAATGAAAAGAACTAAAAATAGAGAGCTCAAAGAAATTGGTGCTCACTTTTTCATGGTAAATTTTTTAATTTTTTTTTTTGTCGTTTGTTTCAAATAAAATTGATGAATAAAGATATCTATAATATGGGTTTGTTTGGAAAAATATTTTTTTTCACACCATAAGTTTTTAAAATATTAGTGAAATAAACTTATTTTTCCTTTAATAAAACTAGGAATAATGTGAAAACCCATTAGAATTTGTATATATTTTGGGCTAAATGGAATAGAAAAGATATTTATGTTTATTTATTTATTTTGGTATATTTTTTCAATGGACGGGAGAGATTTGAATCTGAAATTTGACATCGGGTATGAATTAAGACTTTACACAAATTTTTTCTCTTTCCAAGAAAGTGACTTCACACTAGTTGAATAATCGATATCGTTAGTAGTGTAATATATAATAAATTTGAAATTTAAATCTTACACATACGTTATTGGGCAAGAGATTTGATCTTGTTAAGTTTTGTATTTTTGAAAAATTAAATCAACAAAAACTTGTAACTATACTTTGTGTTTTAGAAAAATAATTGAAATTTTATTCAAATTTCAACAACAAAAATCTTGTCCATGAAAACTTGCTACAAATAACTATAAGCAAAACCATGGTCAAAAAGCTTCAAGGAAATAAATCATGTAGTTTGGTATACTCTTTCCTATTACTATCTAATTTCATTAATAATAATAATAATAATAATAACATTGTCAAAACCAACCCACTATCGACACATTTGGTGCTATAATTGCATAAAAAGTTTAGATATCGAATTAAAAGGAAACGAAAAAAGTAAAAATAAGAGAGAATAAATATAYGAATAATATACTAAGGTACATTAGTAAGAAGTCACCCTCCATCTTCCTGCTAACCACCGTTAAAATTTGACGGCTGTTTATTAAAGAAAAAAGTATCTCATCTTCTACCTTCCTCTTTCTTATTGATAAAATTTTTTAATAATAGTCAACAAGAAATAGACACCGTAAAATTAAATGAAATTGAAATGATAGATTAATTAAAGGTGTCTGGTTTGATATTTTTTTCTTAATATAAGTGTAGAAATACGGAATTCAATCTCTGACCTTTGATAAAAAAA